AAAGACAATGTTGGGTGGACATAGAGTTACTGCCGGAGAAATAAATAAATAATTGTAATTAATGTCATTATTTTTGTGTAAATAATTCATTACTCAAAACAATGTTTTCCTTCTATAATTCTCTTCTTTTTTTTTTTTTGGCGTTCAGCTGAAGATGTACTTGCGTTGTGGATGTTTACAGTATAGCTGCGATATTTGGGGTTGACACACACGACTTCTGCAGTCATTTGTTGACCGGGTTAGAAGTTGGAGTGCATTTGCGTAAGAAGCGAGAAATTAACAGTCTGTAACTAAATAGGCCAGATTTGTCAAACAGCTTAGCACGCAAAACTCAACTTCTGGGACAAGATAAAAGTCTAGACGAGTAAGAACAACCAGAAGTTTTTGCCGTTTACAACAGGTAAACTTCAAAAAAGAAAAAAAAAAGAATGTCTGAAATATTTTGCTGTGTCGCCCCCCCCCCCCTTCCTTTTTTTCATCCCCCTAAACCCCCACCCCCCTCTTAACACACACACATACACACGCACACACACTTTCAACCATTTGAATAGTTATTTGTGTCTTCTTACCAGCGCTTTGCACAGTTCACTTCAGTTTTTTTTTTTTTTTTTCTGTTTACTTTTACTAAGCAATTCCTTACATTCAGTAGTTTGCCAGTGTTTACGTAACAGTCAGATCTCAATCTGGTAGGGAAATCAACGCAAGGTGATCTCTTCCAAATCGCCAGCAGCTGGAATTGAACCCGGTGTGATTGATTTGCCACACCGGTTCGCAACGATTGAGCCTTGTAAGTGCTTTATTTGACAGTATATGTAATGAATTATGTCCTCTAATGACTTTATGGGTCTTTCACCCACAATATATCACTGTGTTAGTACTTAACTGTCTGTAATGTGGGTAATACTATTTCATCTGAGTTGATCTGGATAGAGATTCGGCATCCCTGCATACAGAACAAAGCAACATTAGCTTCGTCTCACTCATCAACAGCCAGCCAAGGATCTCCACACTGATGGTACCCGAAGTTGTCTGGTTGGTTAACTACTCGTTTTGCTTGTCCCCGAGTCTTGAGTGACAAGACTCAAGTATCCTTTTAGATTATAACTAAGATTGAGTAGTCTGTAGGTCAAAGACCATACTTGACTCTCACAAACTTCAGATACCAATCACCCCTGGTCACACTCGTCAAAGTGTCGAGACGATAATAGCAAGTCGTGCTGATGCTTGCTGACCCCATACCACTGCCATGAGTGCCCCTTGGCATCAGCAAAAAAGGCAGTCTAACATGCCGAGGAAGCGAGAGGTCCATCGCCTACTCAGTTTGTAACGTGTCATCGGCCATTTTCTGTATATGCACCAAGCATTGTAAATTTCTTCGCCGCTAACTGCAGTTGTTGTTTTTTTCAAAACAATGTTCACCGTACCTGCATACATCTGGAATAGGTGTTTTTGTGCATGCCCTTTTGTCAGCCTGCATACTTGTTCATGTGTTCCGTTTATATCTATATTGTTCTTGAACTTAGGTTATTTTTATGAAAAGAAACCAGAGCAATGCAACTGTCATTCTATATTTTTGAAATGTACACAATGTAAAATCCTGTTCCGCTATTGCCCTACCAGAATCTTTAGGAAAACTATTGAGAAACTTGTAGTAATAGCCAGCTGAAGGTGAAGTTGGAAATAATTGTGCCTTCCTAGTTGCCCAGTGAATTTCTGCCGACACATCAACACTTAAATGCAAACATGCATAATCGGTTAAAGAAGCTAGGGGCGGAATCGTGGATAGAAGAGATAAAGTTAGGGAGATATCCTTTACAGGACGTTACAGAAGCGACCCTAGAATTTTTAGCTGTTGTAGTTTTCTTGAAAAATAGTTTGCCATTGCTTTCTGATGGTCAGCTCTCGATACCACTGTCGAAACCAACTCAAGACGGTTCTGCTGCCGAAGCGCCCGCAACAAAGATCGAACCCGGCACCCCGGCATTACGAAGCGAGATCGCAGCGTAAAAGCCACAGACGCCGACTTTAGAGGAGCTAAGATTCTAAGATAACTGAAGTTTACAGGGTAGTAACCCATAAGGTCTCCGTTCTTCTTGTAACTGAAGTCTGAGCCAGAAGAAGCTCAGCACAATGAACCGGCTCTGTAGCACCGTCGAAGATCCTGATATACTTTGGGTAGAACTTTAACTCCAAATTTTGCCCAGGCAGCGCTGTTAGACTACTCTTTTCGATTTTCAACTGCCAAAGAATTTTTTTACGTGCCCAACACACGGGTGTCTGATCTCACTACCCAGAGACCAGAGGTAATTACCAGAAGTCCAAGTCCACTTGAAAAAATCCCAGCCTTTAACGGGGATTGAACCCGGAACCTCTAGCGCGCGAGGCAGACACCATGCCTCGAGACCACGCAGCTCCCCTAATAATACGAAGAAGGAAAAGAACATGGAGCGAAGAAGCCGAAGAAAGAGGAAGAAGAACAACAAGTGAAAGACGTGGATGAGAAAAAGAAAGATGGACTGGAAATTATTAGAAAAAGAAGGAAATAATAAGTAATAGTTTCATCCAACCATGATTTGTTGTCCACATATGGTATAACTTGCTTTCAGTTGAAGCTGACCTTCAGAGTGACCAGTCAATGTTTCATAATAATGCTTGAATGGCCGTCCATTGGTGCTGCCTCAAACCAAACTACTAGCGATCATCATCATCATCTTCCTCATTATTCTCATCAACTTCATCATCATCATCATCATTATCAAATGTCTTGCCGACTGGCGTAGGCGATCTTACCTCTTCACAACTTACGATACGCCCATGTGTATCAGTTTGTCTGCCGACTTCAATCAATACCATGAAAGAAGCAACAGTTGTCAAGAATCTTCTCGCATTAAGAGGTGACAAATACAACTATTTTTTGCTCTACGCCAGGGTGTATGGGATTGGCTTTAACTCTTTCAGTCCCAAAGAACACATCATACATTCACAGGTGACTAGCAAGATCTACATCACAACCTAGGATGATGGCGAGTGTGACTAACAAAATCCGCTTGCGTGAAATGAAATTAGAGCACCTCTCCATAACACGAAGCTTGGCCCGCAATGGCAAGACCATATGTTGCTTACGCAGTACGATGCTTCACTCGGCCAGCCTTGTTGACCCTAAAGAAAAAGTAACACTGACACTAGCCCATAGGAAGCATGTTGTAGAAGCACCTGAATCAGAAATATAGTGCGTTGTTCGCTTGTAAGAGTTTGCCTACTGAGGAGATACCTGGTCTGTTCTGCAATAACATTAGGATTCAAGGTTGTCTAAAACACTTTTTTTGGGGGGGGGGGGAGTGGGGGAGGGGGGGGGGGTCCTACTGCTCACATGATGAAGAACCACAGAGAGGAGTTAGATGTAGTTTCCTGTCTTTTGCTTTTTACGTAGCTTGTTCTAATGTCATTCTGCGTTTCTCTAGTGAATGTTTTACTCCCTCTAGCCAACACTTTGTTGGTCTGCCTCTTGCCTTGTAGTCTACTGGTCTCATGTAGTACGCTCTAGCTGCTGGCTGATCTCCTTCCAGTCTGAACGGTTGATAAACATTTTTTGATTCTTCAATTCTCTATTAAATCTTTTAGCGGTACTGTGCTTATGATTGTTCTTAGCTCTTTATTTATAACCCTGTCTCTTCTGGTTTTCTCCGCCACATTTCTATGTATACTATGAGGGAAAGTCAATAAGTAAGTCACAAATAGTTGTTTAAAAGAAGAAAAAAAAAATAGAGATGAAAACAATATGAACGCCTTTTATTATTATAGATACAATGTCTCTTCATTTTTCAACATAATTGCCACCAACATTGATACACTTGTTCCATCGTTTTATCCCTTCCAAACCCGCTGCAGTCAACTGCGTGCTCTGTTTTCTAAACCACATTTTCACTTCACATTCAATTTTCTCGAAATGTCTCCCGCCAAGGTGGGTTTTAAATGGACCTTTATGTTATATGCTGAACCATGTGAGTGCCCTATTGCACCTGCTACATAATCAACCGTTACTCTAATCATCTCCTCCACCCGCTGCATGGATGCTACTAGATCGGACTTCATCAACAAATTTAGAGCGTCCTTGAGAAGATATTTTGTACTCAGCTATGCACCGCTTTAGCGGATAAACATTTGTCAGTATAAACAGGAAACATTTCCTCACAAATGTCCTTTGCAGGCAGCTTTGCAGGCAGCGCTTTTGTCCCCCACCCCCATCCCCCCCCCCTTCCCGGCTCGCATCCACCCCCCCCCCAATACAACACACAGCTGATTGTTCTTTTAGGACACACTCTGTAAGTACGGTCGCCATTTTGTTTCTGCATTGCAAATGAGCATGCAACACCTAGCGCCACCTAATGAACAGAGACATACAGTTCGATGTTGCTGTCACCTAATGACACCTTTAGAAACCACCAACTACATTTTCCTGCCATCCCATAACTATTTATGACTTTCTTATTGGCCTCCCATCGTTTAAACACAAACACGCCCTATATTTTTTAAACTAAAATGCGTATTAAACTTATTTTGAACAGAACAACAACAACAATAACAATCATTAAGCTAGGCTAATTAGCCTGACAACCGATCACAGTAATAGGATGGTATAAAACTTCGCAAGTTTTTGTGAGCCTTAACAAAAATATCATCATCATCATCATTATCATTGCTAATTTTAAAATTTGTTATTAAGGTAGAAACATTTTACGATCCATTACAGGTTAGGTCGCTGTACGATATCTTTAACGTTATCAATCCAAGTCACCCTTTTGCTGTTAGGTTTTAGATATAGCCTCCGCGTTGCCAGTTGTGGCTACATTCTAGCGAGATGACCTAACCATTGAATTACAATCTACTTGCTTCCTTGAAAAAAAAAAAAAACGACATTTTAAAAACGCCTTACCTATGCCGTTTTCGAAATTCTGGTTGAGGTTGTTGTTGCCCCCACTGCCACCGCCCATGTTGAAGAG